CAACTCGTTGGAAATAACTGTACGCGAACAATGAAAATATTCACTACTAACACAGTACTTGCTTCATTTGGGCAGCATTGTTTCAGACAGACATTTTTGGGGTGTCGGGGTATGTAGTTCAGATTCAAACTGTCCAGGGAAAACAGGGGACACAAATAATCATCCAAGCGTTTCTTGAAGAGTTGCAGGGATGTCGCCTCCATGACTGACTGAGGGAGATCGTTCCATTTCTTCACAACATTTTGCGTGAACAATCCAAAGCGAATTGTCGACCTGGGCACTTTTGTCTGTAACTTCGTCGAGTGACCACGAACATGGGGTGAAAGGTGCCACTGAAACAAGTCCTCAAATCTAAGTCCATGCTCAAGGTCATGTATTTTCTTGTAGACGAGGATAAGATCACCTATTTGCTGCCTGTAACACAGAGGGAATAAATTAAGGCAATTCAGTCTTTCTGTGTAGTACTGGCTTTTTAAACCGTTTACCAGCTTTGTTGCACGACGCTGTACAATTTTAAGGCATGTTTGGTCCTTTACAAGCCATGGCCGCCATACCTTGTATGCCATACTCTAAATGGGGCCGAACGAAGGTGCCGTAAAATCTCCCAAAATGGTATTTGCCGAAGGTTACGAACGCCCTTTTCATTGTGTGCAGCAGTCCCATGGCGGTTTTTACAGCCTTGTTGCGCTGCAGTGTTGGTTTCATGTCACTCGGTATCAAAACACCGAGATCCTTCTGTGAAGATTCAGCGGGGGGTCTTATATCTTTCAGGTGATATATCCTCAGGCTATCATTTGAATGATAGTTGGTTGGACGCAGAAGAACAACGACACACTTCTGCACATTGAGATTTGGAAGCCATTTCTCCGACCACGCTTGTGGTCGATGCAGATTGTTTCGGAGTGTTCTCTGGTCAAAGCATCTTAACGACTTGCCAGAGCTTAAAGTCGTCGCAAACATTATTTTGCCTCAGTAGAGTTCCTGAAGGTTGTCATCAGCATAACGGATGAAGAGCAATGGTCCTAGAACTGAGCCCTGGTCCAGATATCCAGACATGCTAGCAGATTTGAGAGGCAGGAACGTTCTCTCCGGAAGCCATGTTGAAAATCCTGCAAGATGCTATTTTCTTCGCTAAATTCCTGTATAGCTTGCACGATTCGTTCATCTTTGTGGGAATAACACTTCATTCTGCATTTCCGTGTTGTTCGTCGAAAAAGCTAACCTCAGTTTCTTTCGAAGCCTCCTCTTGAATATTCTGGCTTGGTTTTGGCCTACAAGGCGTTCCGACAGCTTTGTTGTTCGACATAACTGGCAGCCTCCGGCGGTCCTTCGTAGGCCTCCTGGCCGTCTTCCTCAGCTGGTCTGCGTGTACGTAAGCGGGCCTCTTTTTTTGGACCGTACAGACGTACGTGTTGGTTTCCTGGGATGTTTATTTATTATCTGAGTTCGCTTTGACTTGCCTTTTTCTCGACTAAGAGACTGGAACCCAACTGTGTCTAGTTCATTTAACAAACCGTCTCCAGTTTCAGCATTTGGTATAGCTAAAGGAGCCGTGGTTGCATAAGTTTTTTTCATATCCTGGACTGCCGAATTCGTCGGTTTCTTCTCTTCACGTAAGTGGTGTAAGATTCCTTAACTTTCCTACGTCCATTTTTAGACCTTCCATTTTCGAAAGTTTATGAGGGAGTCCGAAACATGTGGTGCAGACTTCATCGTCATATGTGACACCCCCCCCCTCCCAACGTCACTAGGCTTTTTGCCCGTTTGACGGGCATTGGTCTGACAGCAGAACGCCCGACAACACTGCAGCCATTAATATCATGTGTAATAATGATCTATCAATCGTTTTGAATAAGTTGGCGCGGGTCGCTTGCCTAACCGTAATGAAGGTCTTCCGGCAGATCGACCGCCCGGGTGCGACTCCGACCTGGAGCGGACATTTTACACCGTGTTTGAAGGCATTTCTCCGAATAACATTACTAAGTATACAAGTTTCAAACGGTATTCTTAAAGGTATGAGATGAATTTTCAACCACATCAGCGATATGAGGTAAACGACTCAGCCTTTCGTAGGTCTTGGAAATTTCTCGGTTCTGTTGCAGAGTGGCGACTGGACGAATATAGTCCTGACGTAGGTTTGCAAGGATGGACATTTCGCAAAAACTAATCGGATTCTTAAAACCCAGGAGCCGTAAAGACGTCCAGTAGATAGAAATCCCGATAAAAGTGAAATCCCCGACCCTGACAGCACCAGCCCCCTCGTGCCACCTCACAGCCCCGCCTCGCGAGGGGGCTATGACGGGGCTGTGGGGGGGGGGAGCTGTGAAGGGGCTGGATAAGGGGCTATGGCCGGAGAGATCCCCGATGTTGTCCCCTCGTGTCCCCTCACCGAAAAAAAGCAGCGCAGGCGGACACCTGATATTGTGGTTTTTTTGCGTCCCCTTGCCATATCAGACCGTTTAGCGTTACTGCGAAGCCCCGATCCCCTTATTTTTCGCGTTTTAGTCCAGATCCCCTTTCCTTTGCCGATTTTCCCGGAATCCATGCTATATCATATCTTTATGCTTTCCTTCGAGTCGCCCATCGCCTTATGTTTCTTGTTTTAGTCCAGCCCCCATTTCCAAAGCCGATTTGGTATGATACCAGTGCCGCAACACTCCGATTCGCGGCAAATCGGATCCCAGACATGGATGCGTTGGAACAAACGGGAATTCTCAACATCTACGTCATGCTGAGACAGCTGTAACTGCATTGGAGCGGCCTCCTCGTGCGAATGGACGAAGAGCGGTTACCAAAAGGACTCATTTGCAGAGATGTCGCCACGGGTTTTCGGCAGCAAGAACGCCAAGTCCGCCGCTACAAGGACACTCAGAAGACTCCCCTGAGGCGCCTGTTGGTCGACCAGGAAAACTGGGAAGACCTCGCCCGAGACCGACGGACATAGATGGGGAGAGTGAACACGGACGCGGCGATTTATGAAGCCAATTATATCACTGTGCAAACACCAAAGGCTAATCTGTCAAATCCCAAGTGCTTCCACCTCGCAACGCCAAAGTTCAACCACCTAGACCTGCCCAAGATGACAGCGGACGTTCCGGAAACCAATCGGCCTTATAGGACATCTTTGTACCAACTTCAACACGCGAACAACAGCAACTGCTACTACATCGTCCAACTCTGCCTAATCCTTCACGCCGAAAACTAACACTGACGCATTCCCAACCCCCCGCTACCATCCTCCTCCTCCTCCTCCTCCTCCTCCTCCTCCTCCTCCTCCTCAATTGCTCAATGTCCGCTACAGCAGCTCCTGTACTAATCACCACTACACACAATCATGGCACACCAACAAATATCAATCCCCCACAAGCAACGGCAGCGATGCGGACTCTATCCATACCTGCCCTCATTGCGACCGCACACTAACCTCACACATTGGCCTGGTCGGTCACTTGCAAATCCACCTCACAGAGACTGGCGGACCAGTGCTTGAAGCACCCACATACACTCTCCGCATCCGACTCAGCTGCCCCCATTGCACCCCCACATTCACTCATCGCGTGGGTCTACTCGGTCACATGCGCGTATCCCTGAGAGGGGAATAGACTGCAGGCTCGACACACCTAGCATTTCCTGCACGTCCACCGTGTCTAGTTCAACCCACACCCCGCCGTCCAGCACACCTAACACCATCAGCTCCGCCACTACCGACATCCCTGAAACCGACCCTAAAACCAACGACCTATCCTGCCCATATTGTCCTCGCATCTTAACCACACACATCGGCCTGCTCAGTCATTTGCGAATCCATCTCACAGAGACTGGCGAACAAGTGCATGTAGCATCCACATACACTCTGCGCATCCGCCTGAACTGTCCCCACTGCACCCTCACATTCACCGCACAGGCCTATTAGGCCACAGGCGCATTCACGAAAGTCTGCGACAGACAATTGTCGGATAAACCACACCATCACATCTTCCTCCACCTTCATCACGCGACATCATCATCCATCACAAGCATCCAATTGTCACCTCCCACGCAAGTGGCGAGCGTGCGTCTCGGCTCCGTCTCCATGCTGCTTCTTTGCTGCATGTGTAGTTCAAATCTGAGGTTACCACGGCGCGTCGTAGGCTGTGGCTTGGAAGGCTGCTGACTGACGCCCCAACTCAGTCCATGCAGTCTGCCCAGTTATGTGTGTATGTGTGTGCGTTTGTGTGGAGTGGCAGACTGGTGGGCTGAGAGCCATGCTGAAGCGGCTCCTTCTTAACGTGGACTGCGCACTCTCAAGCATGTGAGATATAAGTCGCTCAACTTCTGTTGTGTGAAATCCTGGTGCTTGTTTCATTTTTT